CCCCAAAACCCCAAAACCCCAAAACCCCATGAACAATTTATAAGTTTCAAAAGCGAAGTTGATTATTTATATTTTTATCTGAATAAATTATGATACAGTTTTTGAATATTACCCTATGAGCTTTGATAAGCATACTTCATTGAAAATCTTTAAGCATGTGCTTAAATAATCCTCCTTTGGTAATAAAGTCATCAACATTTTTGTAACCATAAACTTTATCAGTTTTATTTTTAGCTTTTTCTATTATATATCTCCAATGACAATTTCTAGTTAATAATGTTTCTTTTCCTACAACAATTAAATGCCGTCGTGCTCGAGTAATAGCGACATTTAACCTTCTGCAATCCTCTATAAATCCTAAATTTCTTGTCCTTACACAGCCAACTATAATTATATCTCTCTCAGCACCTTAGAACGCATCTACAGTTGAAACTTAAATAGCCTTTAGAGCCTCATTCCTTGAGTCAATAATCATTTAATTAATAAGTTCCTCTTATGATTTATAAGTTACAATAACTCCTATTGAGAAGTCAGGTACATCATCAGCCTAACCATCATTAAGTCCTTCATTATTCTCATCATCTTCTGAAGATGATGAAGACTCATATCCATTTGCTTGCTTTCCAGAATACCTTTGGCAAATAAGGCAGCACAAATAATCAAGTAGCGCTACAATAAATCTAGCTTCATAATAGTTTCTGTAAGAGAACTCACTTTTAGATTCCTAACATTAATGGTGAGCATTTATTTAAGTAAATACCTATCCTTTTTCTGCTGAGATAAATGTAACAGGCTGAAATTCCTTGATAAGCTATTTTCTAGCATTAGCTCTTACACCATTCTCAAGATAATTTTCATAAAAAAGATCATTAGCAATCTAAGCAATCATTGGATGGCACTATATAAATGATGTTATGATAAAAGTTTGCTTACTCTATACTGAGTCCTAAGCAAAATACAATAAAATTGTTCCTTCATCAGTCTAACAAAAAGTGGTAGATGTGGCAGCACATTTTAAGTTCTGGCTTTATTTTTGCTCTCTTCTAAAATTTATTACTGCTACATCTTTTTCTCTTTAAAGTTGAATGAAATTATAGGAGGGAGCTGCAGAGGGTCTCCAACAGCTATCAATTTTCTGCAGTTAAATCTGGAGATAGGCAATAAACTTTACGGTTCCAGCATTTATGAGCACTCATCAAGTATGACAATCTTAAACTGCATATTTTTCATAACTTCGAATCCTGTTGAGGCACAAGTAGCCCCAACCACTCTTTTTTGTTTAAGAATTTCTATCCTTTATTAAATAGTTTACTATCGAATGTGACCAATACTATCAGTTATATTCATTATCTCCTCATATTAGTTAGAATTCATCTTACCCCCAGGAGGAACAGATGCCTTAATTTCCTCTATCATAGCCTCTAATTCCTTTAAGGCTTCCTTGTCCGCTTATTTTTTGTTTGATGCAGAATGATGTGTATATCTAAGTAAATGCTTATTAATTTTCTTTAACGAACCAACTCTCGCAAAATCTTCATAGCCAGAATTTTTCAGCATAAGTAAAATTCTATCAACAGCAATATTAGTTAGAGCACATACAAGTATTTTTATCTCTTTGTCACCAATTATATCCAATAATGTACAAATGAACCTTATTATTGCTACTAGTAAATAAGATTTACCACAACCAAAAGCACCATGTACAAGGATGACATTTGAATCTTCAGCTTTAGGATCCTGTTCTTTAGTTTCTATCATTTATACTTATTCATCTATTGGCTCTTAATTATTCTTTGTTTTACTCCTTGCTAGGTACCATTTGGTTACTTCATTTAATACACATTCCTGATCTCTATTAAGTTTGAATTCTATACAGGTAGCTTATCTGACTGCTTCAACTAATTCAAGATCACATTTCTTCAGTACTTTAAACTTAGCTCTTGAGTTTTTAATGGAAAGCATGCTATCAACATATGGATTCGACCTTTCTCTGAATTCAATTAGATTTTCTATAAGACTGGAGAAGCCATTTAGATTTACAGATTTAAAAGCAAACTTATATTAGTCTGCTTTATATCTTACTTCTTCGATTGCTCCAATTATTGAAACTTTTATTTTCAATTATGCATTATGACTATGCCAAAGACCCTTGACAAAAAGAATATCTGATACATCATTCAGATTTTAATTAGTTATCATAGGCCTCTTCATCAATATCCATAAATCTTCCACCATCATATCTTTCTTTACCAACGGGGGCAACTTATCTTTGAACTTAATATAAAACGCTCCAGGGGTTTCTCCATCGGATTCGTCTCCAGAGTTAGCGCCCTCATCTTCAGATTTAGACTCTTCATCATCTTAGCTTTCTGGGCCACCTCTTTTAGCCAAATCTCCTCCTTTACCTTTCCATCTGTTCCTTTCATTTTTCTTTCTTTATTATATTCTTTTCTTTAGATTTTTAAAATTAGCATTCTAAAGTACTCCTCTGTGGCTTTATGATGGCTTTGTATATTCTAATATGATAGGTATTAATTGCATCTCAGTTCTTTAATTTTCATAATCTTCTTTAATAGCATATTTTAGCATTTCTATTACTGCTAAAATAAAAAATCCAGCATAACTTTCTCTGTTTTGAAATACTCCTTCTCTTGGAAATTAATAGATTGGATGTCTGACTGAGAAATCTATCATTGCCTCGCCAAAAGATTTAATTTACTGGTTAATTTCAGATATCTTTTTCTCCTGCATTTCTTTGAGTCTTTCCAAAGCATTTTGTTTTTGTATCTAATCAGTTAATAATCTCTTTTTCATTGGGGAAGAAATTTATTTTTCAACTGCATTAGACTTGAATTTATTATAGTCATGATGCTGTTAATTTCCTTCCTAACCTAGCTCATTTGATATTTCATCAAGCTTCCTCTTTTTTGAATTAATAGTTGATGTTTAATCAACATTTTCCTGGCCATTAGGATCATCTTCTTCCTCACTAGCTTCAAATTAGAATTAATCATGAATATCATCTCTTTTTACTACGGGGAGATCTGGCTGATCAATCCTCAAATGTTTCAAATATTCTTTTTCGAATTCTTCATGTTCTTTAGGATTAATCATGCCTATCTTAGGCAAATCATATCCTGACCTCTAAGCAGCTGATTTAATGATGTCTGATATATCTTTCTGCTTACTACTCTTAAGCATAGCCTTTTAATTTGTATTGCTATCTTGATTTTCAGGAACACCTTCACCATCATCTATATTATTCTCTATTTTTATTTTTAATTCTGGGTCTTCAATCTCTTAATTTTACAATAGCCATTATGGAAAAACCACCTATTAAGCACCATCATTTATGTTACTTGAGTTTATCACATTATTAGATTCTTCAGGGTGTTCTTTTTTTATGCATTGGCTATTTTACTCATCTGAACTTTAAAAAATATCCAAGTCATTTTTTATTATCTACTCTTGCATCTACTTAATTTTTTGTAAATTTATCTAACCAGAATTATTCCTTGCATCAATTTCTTATTAAATCTGCCTTTCCTTCCTTTTTTAAGCTATATCCCTCATATAATTGTCAAAATCATGATTTCCACTATTCTCCTCTTAAGACATTCTAAGATCATTAAACTAATTTTTAGGTTGAGCATTCTAAAATATATCATTTCTCATTGCATTAGCTTTTTCTTTGGCTTTTCTTAATTATTCTGTTTTTCTTTCGAGTTAGATCAATCTCTGATTTTCAATTTCCTCAGAAGATCTAATATTACTATTATTATTTCCTCTTCCACGAGCACAGTCTTCATCATCACTATCTTTAGGTTCATCTTTGACTTTTTGTGGACAGACAAATTATTTTCTTGGAAAACCCATCACAAGTTTCTTTGGTCCAGCATTTAATGCTGTTGGTAGACCTTTGCCGACTGAGCCGGTCTTGGCTCCCTTAATCAATATAGGTGATTTATTTTCCTCCTCAGCTTTAACAAGAGCTTTTTTAGATTTTCTAGCCTCTAGCTGTGACTCTCTTTTAACTGAAATTTTCCCTTCCATTCTTCTGTTCTAAAACAAGAGTATAAGTTTGAGATTAAGTCATAACTTAAAATTAGCTTACTTCAATATTGACTATATATTTGTTCAATTTGAATTCTTCCCCTGGACTTAAATCTGGTATTTACTTAAAAAATTTGTTATCTAATTGATTGGCTCTACAACTTCTTGCAAACAATACTAACTACAAGTAAAAAGAGGATTTTATCAAGTTAATTTTTACTTTTGAGTTTTTAAGATGATATTCCATAAACCCATCTTCCCAAGTTTTTTGCTTTTGTTATAAATGTCTTGTGTAAATCACGTCATAGTACTCGACTTCCATTGTAATCTTGTCCCCAGGTCCGAGAGGAGCTCGACCTCCTTCATGAACATAAAGCTACGGTGGAGTTTCTGAATCTGTTGATAGAGCTTTGATGCCTCCTCCTCTATTATTTTTCCTTTGCATTTTAAATTTAAAAACTAACAAATATTTTAATCTTAATATCTATTTTTACACTAATGCAATAATTTAATATTTATGGGGTTTTGGGGTTTTGGGGTTTTGGGGTTTTGGGG